CCCTCCACTGTGACCCGGGCATGCTCTTAGGGAAAGCAGTTCCAAAGACAGACGACATGAAACCATGCACATGGCTATTCCTGCAAAAAGGAGCAGCCTCCGCGGGAACAGGCCACGGCTCACCCACACACAGGGCGCCAGGCACCGGCAGGGGACACAGGGTGCAGGCGGTACTCATGGTGGAAAAGTCCCGCTGCCACAGTTCCATTAGACATGCCAGGCTCCCCTTCCGAGCACGGTTCCAACTTCGTCTTACCAGCACACAAGTGTGAGGACGGGCGGGAGAAGAGGAGCCGCCGGCCTTGGATACCACACACCACAAAAGGAGCGTGAGGTGCACACTGCTCCTTCCCCAGTCCATGGGGGCCTGTCCTTGCACCTGCTGCTCAGGTCACACACAGAGAGCAAGGTGTCTGGCTATGAGGCCCACATCCCGGCAGCAGGGACATGCTGTCAGGAAGTAAGTTGGCTGTGAGCTCACCCCTGGGTGCATAAGCTGCAGGCGCCCTAGTTCTCTGTCAGGTGAAAGTCTGGTTTTCAACACCAAACCCCACTTCTCTGTTCGGCTGATGGCCAACGAGCAACTTCAGTGTTTAGAACCTACTACCTCAGTGGACGCTTGGACGGTGGATAGTAGAGGCCAGGCGGATGGGTGGCTAAGTCGTGAAGAAACACTACACAGAGCACACAGGATTTGACGTAAGGCAAATGAACCACAGAAGAAATGGCTGAGTGCAGGATGCTATGCCCGCAGTGGGGCAGGAGGTTCTGGGCACAGCCAGAGGGATTTAGTGAAAGCGCACAATGTTGGCGAGGCTGTGATGGAAACAGAACAGTCCAAGCAGAAGGGAGGCCAGCAGACCCCTGAGGTAGAGGCGCCTGCAGATGTGTCACAGCACAGGGAACATGAAGGGTAAGACCAGACTGAGAGGTAACATGCATTAGCCCGGGCTCAGAGAAGATGCCCCCTCTGCACCCTATGCCACTCAACAAGGAGATGTGCTCTGTCCAAGCTATGCCACCACGCTCTTCACAAAGAAGTGAAACATGTTAATTTCTAGTGTTTCTACAAAACAGCATGCTATCAGTCTCACTACTTTTCCCATCTCCCTATACACTAATGACCACCTGTAAGAGAGTTTTTAATGTTTCAGCAAGCTTTAGCGGTCACAAAACGGCTGTCATCTTTCCCTCGGAAGGAGATGGCTTTGTATGGTTTCGGCAGCCGGTCACTTTTACGGTTGCAGGCAGGAGGGCAAAGCAAGGAACTCCATGCTGATTTGGGGTGATCTGCAACATACAGTGTTTGCTGAGAAGACACCCACATGCAGATTGTGGCACTTTCAACCTAAGAAATGGGAGAAATTCAGTATGTGCACACGTACACACATGCATATCTACACGTACTTGCTCAGGCTAAGAAGAAAAACAGCCAAAAGGCAACGCAGGGCTGTGAAAACTGTTACCGGAAGAGGAGCCAGACTGGAGTAGACCATCTGGACTTACCTGAGTAGTTCTGGATTTTTGGTTTGACTTCATAACCCTGTTTTTACCCACTTACAAAACAATTTTAGAAAACTCTCACAAGGCAAATCTCTAATACAACGGAACACTTCCCAAGTCTTCCTCTGAGAACAGTGTTACCCTACCACAAAAACCAGACACAGGAACACCCAGAAGCCTACCAGCAGGTCTCCACAACCACAGGGCAAAAATCATCAATGGAGAAACTAGCAAAGAGAATCCAGCAACACACAGAAAGGACTGCACACCATGACCAAGCAGGAGTCCTTCCAGGAAGGTAAGGCTGGTTTAACACTGGAAAAGTCAACTCATGTCATGTCCCGCATCAGGAAAGCAAACAAAGGCACATGACCATCTCAGGAGAAGCAGGAAAAGCATCTGACAAGCCCAGCATCCCGTCTAAACAAAGACACTCAACAAACCTGGACCAGAATGGACGTCCTCCACCTGACACAGGGGGTGTAAGAGCAGCTCAGAGCTGATGTCATGTCAGGGGTGAAAGCACGGAGACTTTCCCCACCAGGCCAGGAGCAAGACCAGAGCCTGCACTTGGCCGTTATCTCCAGCACCACAGTGGAGTTCTAACCACAGCAGTTCAGCAAGGCAGAGAATAAGACATCCACACGGGAAAGGAAGAAATGAAACTATCTGTACTCACAGGAGCCACAATCACTTCTATACAAAATCCTAAGGAATACGCTAAAAACCAGTACAACTGATGACTGAGTTCAGAAGATTTGCAGGATATAAGGTCGATATGCAAAAAACAACTGTATTTTTAACATTTGCAATGAACAATCCATAAATAAAATTGAGAAAACAATTTCATTTATAATAGCATCAGAAATAATAAAATACTTTGGAACAAATATAATAGAATCTATAGAAAACTTTACCTTGAAAACTATGAAATGTTTCTCAAAGAAACTGAAGACATAAATAAATGGAAAGACATTCCACAACCATGGATCAAAAGACTGCTATCACTGAGATGGCAATACTTCCCAAGCTGATCAACAGATTCAATGCACCCCCTGTCAGCACCCCAGCTGGCATCTTTGTAGGAACCTGACAAGGTGATCCTACAGTTCATGTGGAAGACCAAGGGGCCACCCTGAGCTAAAACAATCTTGAAAAAGAAGAACAAAGTTAAGGACTCACATGCCCCTGTTTCAAGACTTACTGCAAAGCCAGAGTACATCAAGGCAGGGTGGTACTGGCATAAAGACAGAAACATGGTAGGGAGAACAGAGTCAGAACCCTGTATTAAGCCTGCACGTACATGGTCAGCTGATTCCAGCAAGGGGGCCGAGACCGCGCTGGGGAAAGAACAGTCTCTTCTGCAAGTGGTGCTGGGAACCCTGGGCATCCACAGGCTGCAGAATGCAGCTGGACTCCACGCCACTCTACGCTGGCATCAGAAAGGATTGAAGATGTAGACGTCAGAGATAAAACTCGTAAGTGAAAAGCCAAAGTGAATTTTCACGATGTTGGATCTGGTAACATTTCATGGATATGACACCAAAACACAAGTAACAAATGAAAAGAAAAATGAACACCAAAATCAAAGACTTCTTTGCATCAGAGGACACTGTTAAGAAAATGAACAGACAACCCAGAACGGGAGAACATATCGGCACACTGTGTATCTGATAAGAGACTTGCATCCAGAATCTATCAAGAACTCTCACAATTCAACAAAATGACAAATAACCCAACTGAAAATGGGCAAAGGATCTAAACAGACAGTGTCCAAAGGAGATGCGCAAGTAACCAGTAAGCCTGTGAAAGATGCTCGACATTGCTGGTCATCAGGGAGACACAGATTACAGCCGCGAGATGCCACCTCACAGACGCTAGACAGGCTGTCCACGAAGAGATAACAAGTGTTGGCAAGGGTGCAGCCTGGAACCCTTGTGCACTGCTGCGTGGAACGCAAAACGGTGCAGCTGCTGTGGAAAAGTCTGGTAGCTCCTCTAAAAATGACATGCAGCGTTCCCACCTGACCCAACGATTCCATCCTAGGTCTGTGCATCCAAGATATGGAGACGCCAGCAGCACGACAGTCACAGCAGCCCAAACGGCAGCCCCCGTGGGACACAAAGCTAAGGGACGGAGCCCTGACCTGCACCAAGACACGAAGGAACCCCGAAAACATGCTGAGTGCCCAAAGCCGGGCACAGAACCCAGGTACTATACAATTCCATTTACATGAAATGTCTTGAGAACACAGAAAGCCGGTGACTCGTTTCCCAGGGACTGTGGATGAAGCGCTGGGGGTATGAGGGGATGAGGTCACTAGGGATGAAGGTGCTGGGGGTGGATGAGTTCGCAGTGGGGATGAGGGTACTAGTGGGTGAGGGCTCCGCAGGGATCAAGGGTGCAGGGTTCCTCCTTGGAGTGGCAAAAACGCCCGGATGCTGACAGCAGTGGTGGGTTGTACAACTGCGAATACACTCAACACCACACTGCAAATGAGTGAATCGTGTGGTATAGGAATTCTGTCTCAATCAGGCTGTTGCACACAGATGGCCAAGGCCACCCTAACGAATGAAAGGAGATGGAAGTAGGTGGTGTCATTTAGAGCGTGCAGAGGAGGAAAACCTTTTCCCAATACAAACAACGGATAGAGGGCAAGTGTCCAGAACACAGAGAAATTCTACAAGAGGGGAGGGCAGGGGATGGATGGGAGAGCCAAGGAAAAAGCACCCGAGTGGCAGGAGGCAGGGGGCGGGACAAGCCACTGATCGCACCTGACATCCGGTTTAGAGCGCTTTATGGAGCAGAACTTCAGGCAGTGGGAGCCCAACACCCAGGAGGTGGCCCTGAGAGCCGGGAAGGGCTGGGTGACAGGGAGCCCGCAGGCAGCAGGAGCCCTCAGGGTCCTGGGTTCCACACCAGGCGAGGGACCCGGGCTACCTCATGGGACGGTGACAGTGTCCAGGCAACGCCACCTTCCTGGTGGGTGAGGCACTGGAGGAGCCCTGGCAACACAAATACACACTGGGGGGAGCAGTGAGTAAATGGTGCTGCATCCCCACAGCAGAAACTGACTGACTGTGCCTGAGCCTACATGCGGCAACATGGCTGATCTTCAAATACCGAAGGCGTTACGATGCACAGTGTGATGGTCCTTAAAGCTGTTTCAAACCGCGCAAACTGTATTGCTACCTAGGGATTGTGGGTCCAAGTTCGTGCAGAATAGAGGCACACTGTGCCAGGCAGGGAGAAACACGGGTCGGAAGGGCAGAGGGAGGGCGACGCCGACCTCCAGGGAAGGTGTCCCGCAAGACGCAGAGGTTACACTCACTGAATGTGGCAGGGTGCTGCACCCTCAGTACACTCAGTTTGTGATGAGAATTAACATGAGACCCCATTTGCGCTGGATTTTAGCAGTGGCGTCGCAAGCACGATCCAGAGCAGCACGCCTACAAAGCAGCAGAGACGGGTGCCGCCTGCCATGCCCACACACCCACCTTTGCCACGCTGCCCATGTCCGCCATCGTGGCCTTCTCCTGCGGGAACTGGGCAAACGTGCTCTCGACCTTGGCGATGATGGCGTCTGTGTCCACTGTGCCCTTTGGGCGGCCTCGCGGGAAGTAGAACGCTGGAATGCTTTGGCTTGGGGCTGGCGGCAGGGGCTCCTCCTTCCGCGTCGGAACCTATGAAGCAGAAGGGGTGGGCCAGTTAGAGCCTGGGAACCCTGACTGTCCTCTTCATGCTAACGAGTATGAACGCAGGCGGAGCTGGTGGACGGGATGCACGGGCCCATCTACCTGACTTAACTCCGGACAGTGCCCACAGGCTGGCCACAGGAGGCCAGGACACACGAGGTCACACAACCCATGACTGCCTCGCAGGAGTGCAGATCCATGCCTCCTCTGAACCCGCCTCGGGAGACCCCTCAGAACAGGGGCAGCCCACCACGCAGGGCCTGGAGAACCTGCCCCTGGGAGGCCAGGGTTCGTACCCGGGCTGCCTGGGCCATCAATCACACGCAGGAAGGGGGTGTCCCCGTTTTGGGGCTGTGCCTGGAGTCGCACCTTCCCGCCCATGGACTCCCGGAGGTGGGCACGCCACCACCCTGCAGGCAGGCGGTCCCACGGAGACCTCAGCTGCAAGGTCTCGTTCCTGCCAGGAGCGGAACGGCAGATGCGCCACCCTGGAATCAAAGCCAATGCTTTTGACACCACCAATGAGCAGTGAGCCCCTGACCAGGTCCCTCACATGTGTCAGGACACCGCCCTTGGTGACGCAGCAAGCTGTCCTGCTTTAGGAAGCTTCCAGCACAGAGCTGGGCTCATGACACAGCCTTCCCATGGCCCACATGGGTCTTTCCCACCCCTGGATCTGCTGCCTCTGCTGCTGGCCGGATCCAAGGGACCCTTCCCTGAATGGAAGCCCCCAGTTGGGAGCAAGCCTAGGAGACCCAGTGGCCTCAGGTGTGCACAATTCTTAGATGGGCCCTTAGTTAGACACAGCAGGGCAGTGGGCTAGCCCGTCCCCAAGGAAGGCTGTGCCCTGGCCACCCCCCAGCCTTCTGTCATTCCCAGTTCCAGTCAGGGATGCCCAGATCACCAGGAGGCCCAGAACATGCCCAGGAGGCCCAGGACCACAGGGCTTCCCTGATGTCAGGGCCTGCACAAGGTCCCAAGACCTTGTCCCAAAGGAGCCCCCTTGCTAAAATGAATCTAACTCTACTTAAGCACTGAGGTTTGGCCCCCCCAGTGGGCTTCGTTTAGGTACTCATGGGTCAGGCGCCTGCGCACTGAGAAAAGGTCATGTAACCTTGAGTTGTCAATCAACCTGTCACTGAAAGGACGTATGAAAGCCACCCTAACCCTAATGGCAGGCCACTCTCCACCCTTCTAGGGAGCACGCTTATGCTCTGCTTAATAACTGCAGTTGAGAACGGCCCTCGTCTGTCTCTCGACAGAATTCTTTCCTTTGGGAAGAAGAGCTGGGGACACACGACGCATTCTGCTGGAAACAGAATGGGCTCGGGAAGTCCCCTTCACAGGGCGGCTCTCTGGCAATGAGATGCCCGGTGCCCAGACACCCGTCTGCCCTAAGCAAGTACGAAGGCTGAACAGCATGTTGTGCAAACACCTCCCTGAGTGCCACCGTGAGCTGGCCAGGAAGTCAGGAACCCTCAGCCACCGACCCCGGGAAGAGAGGGAGCCTGGTGAGGCCGTGGGCCCTGACCGCTGTTGCCATCGGGGATGTGGGCTCAAGGGGGTCAGCTGGCTGCCTCAAGGGGTGTCCCAGACAGCTGTGCCTTCCATTCCAAGAATGAACGGGAAATGGCTCCCAGCTACTCCTATGCCCTGGAGAGGAAAGTGTGGGCCCCAAACCTGCTGCTGCAAGAGCTGGGGTGGGGGAGCCTCCCTGAGAAAGCCAGGCAGACTCTCACTCAAGTTCACAAACCAAATTCACACCATCTGGATGGCCCCCAAGCCCTCAAGCCAAAGATGTAAAGTCGACCCAGACTGGCAGTGTGTGGGTGCAGCATGACCTCAGGGAACCCTCCTTGTCTCAGGACTCGCAAGTTCCCCAGATCCAAGACATGTGAGCAGCATGTGCAGTTGGCATGGGCGCAGCCCACGTCCCAAATCAGCGATCACGTGGGAACAGGCACCAGGAGATGCAGCAGGAACCCTGGGGCAGCTCTGAGCCCACGGCCCTCAGATGCCGGCACCTCAGAAACGGGAACTGATGGGCCTCACGTGCTTCAACCAACAGAGGGCAGGCGTGAAGATACAAGACCGGGTGCACACTGAACACAGACCCAGGGAGACTTCCAGAAATGGAAATCACACTGACACAAGCACCCATGCTGAGCGGGCTGACGGGCAGACCCAGCACAGCTCTGGGGCTGTGTTGGACCCGGACGCAGACGCGAAGCAGGCGTCCACGCTGAAGCTGGGCAGCGGAGACGTGCTGGAAGATGTGCAGAGCCAGGGAACCGCAGGCAGGTTCGCTCCGGAAACCCACACACAGACACAGCATCATGACAACAGGCACAGCTTCCAAACCAGCCCAACCACAACCGCACAGAGGGTGCTCTGCCGTGGAGCACACAGGCCTCCCAGCTGCCCCACAGAACACACACCAGAAGTGGTGCCAACCGGGATCTCTGCCCCCGCGAAGGTAACTTTCCAACAGGGTTTCCGACCAAAGCACAGGGGTCTGCCACTAAGCACTCACGGAGATGCTGAGGAGGGTCTGTCTGGAAGAAGCAGAGCGTACGGAGGTAAATCTGAACACGCTGATCACACGTCAGCCATCAGGGTGTAGCTCCATGCCTTTTCAGATCCCTCGAGAGAACAACAGCGCCAACGAAAGGCTGATGGAGCTTGAGTGTTTCTGGGGTTTAATATGATGAGTAAAGATATGATTTTGCCCCTTGACGAGCTAAGTAGTTGGCATTTCCAGGATAGTCAGTTAACTAGTGGGAAGGAAGCCCCACTTGGGAGATTTATCTGAGTTTTTTCTGGTCAGTTTTGAAAAGCATTTCTTCCCAGGAAGAAGAACAGGCCACCCATGACGGCAGCTGGAATCTCTCCTTTTCCTTTCTTCACAGAAAAAACAATCCTTGAGATTTTGTGAAGAAAAGCACTGTCGCCTTCAGCTGGATTTGACTTTTAAAGGCTTTTTCCCCAGCGTGCCTGTTAGCTCAGCGCGTTAGGACAACGTGCTAACACGAAGGTCACGGGCTCCATCCCAGGAGGGCCACTAAGCATCACGTGTTTCTTTCCCATTTCTATTGACCACATTATCCATGGAATCTGCCTTATGTCCAATACCAATCCTGTAAGTTTATTGAAAAAATCCACCTATAAATGGACCTCTGCAGTTCAAAGACTGAGGTGTGGTTCAAAGATCAACTATATTTACAAGAAACGCATACAAGACATTAGAGCACAGAGGCTGTAATTTTTTCAAAGGCAGAAAAAGATACAGCTGGCCAAGACTAACCAAGAAAAGGTGGTATAGCTGCATTAGTAAAGCACAAAGTAAAGCACAAACTTGCCACAAAGTAAAGCAAGGCTTCGACATTATTGGAGAGGAACAGTCACTCCGGGCTGACGGGTCAGTCACAGAACACTGTTACAACCCTGCGCCGACTGGGGCCTTCCCAGGAAGCCTCAGCACAGA